AAGTTGAAACCCAGGAGGTTCCATCTCCAGGTGAGGAGGAACTTCTGCACTGGGAGGGTGCCCGAGCCCTGGAGCAGGCTGCCCAGGGAGGCTGGGGAGTCTCCTTCTCTGGAGGTCTCCAAACCCACCTGGATGCCACCCTGTGCCACATGCTCTGGGTGTCCCTGGTGGAGCAGGAAGGTTGGACTTGATGACCTCTAGAGGTCCCTTCCAACCTCGAACATCCTGTGATTCTGGGATTCAACCCCACTTGGGTCTTCCCAACAAGACCAGCCTGGTACCGGGATGCTCCTCTTTAGAATATCCTGGGTCCACCCCAAAATCCCTCTGTTTGCTCATGCTCTGGCAACCCCATGACAGACAAGGACAAGGTGCTTTGGGGGTGACCCCATCTCTGCATGTTTGTCCCCCAAGGCAGGGAGGATGCTCCAAGGAACGACAGCGTGGCACTGAGCCCGGAGATGGCAACCAAAGGTAAGCAGCGCTCCCTGTTCCTGCTGTGGCATCCCATGGGATAAAATTTATATAATTTATAATAAAACCAACCCCAACAACATAACCAACACCAACAGCTCCAGCTGGCAGCTGGAGAGGTCCGAGCAGAACATCAGGAAGAGCTTGTTGCTTTTGAAGGTGGGGCAGCCCTGGGATGGGTCCAGCAAGGCCAGACAGTCTCCAGCTTTAGCAGGTTTTCCATACCAGGTGATGCTGGTCCACAGCCAAGCTATTCAGAGCCGGCAGTAGTCCTCCTTGGAAGGGGGAGTTTGGAGTATGGGTCCTTTCTCCTCACTGCTTTCCTTCTCCCAGGGCTGGGAGTCTTAGGCAGCCTGGCCTTTGTGGTCCTCGCCTTCCTGATCTTGGCTCTTGCAGTCCATCTCCTGCTGCAGATAGGTAAGTGCGGTTGGACACTGCCACCAAGCCCACATTCGTGCTAAAATTGAGCAGCTCAAGGTGGTCTTCAGCACCAGGAGGCACAAACTGGGCCGTCAGTCCCCTGGCACGGGCATGGCGCAGTGCCACCTTCGTGCTTATGGTGTGGTGGGTTCCCCTCCACAAGCACCTTCACCCACATCTCCGTCTGCCTTGCAGGAACGCGAGCCCAGCCGGCCAAGTTGAAGGCTCTCATCTCCTGCTAGAAGGTCACACCACTCATAGACACTGGAAAGGAAGAAAAGCCCAAGGAGCCTTTGCTGCCAGACCAGAGAAATGCCTTGGCGGGCTGAGGATTGCTGCACAGGACACTCCGATATCTGCAGTGTCCCAGGTTGGGGTCATTGCTCCAAGATGATATCCCTGAAAGCCCTTCTCCTGTCTGTCCAGTGTCCTGAGGCCCCAGCTGCTCCATTTGCAGCCCTGGAGATGCAGCACTCAGCCACAAAAGGCAGCTCCACTGCCAAGGCCAGCAAAGCTTGCTCCTGGGAGCAGCTATGAACATTGCACAACTCGGGAGCAAGAAGGTCCCGAGCAAGAAGGAGCATTAAAAAGATGCTTCACCCTTTGACTCTTGGTCTTTTTGAGTGGTCTTGGTAAGGCTAGGAGCTGGGATGCTCCCCTGGAGGCACCGAGGAGCCACGGTCCCATGGGAGCCTCAGCCCAAGATGTCATCTCAAGATGGGCATGGTTGGAACCCATAAAAGCGTCAAGGGCTGGCCTGCATTTCCCAAAGGCACCTCTGGTGCAAGGACCCACTTTCAGCTGCATGGAGTCCTTCAGACAGGAATTGGCAGGAGACCCAGGGCCAAAAAAAA